GGAGAGAAGGGAGGCAAGGGGCCGCACATGGAGAAGGGAGAAGGGAGGAGGGAGAAGGAAGGCTATGGGGTTGGACCAGGCTGGGGGCCCAGAGGGGAGGCTGCAGTGCAGGGCCAAGAGCCCAGAACTCCAGGGACTGTACTGGGTTCAGCCTGGGCTGGAGCACTAGGTCTGGGATTCCATGGGCTGTGCCATAACTCAGGGGTTTGGCTCAGGAAGGGTGGGATGGACAAGGGGCAGCCCTCACCACGTCCCTGGCTCTTCATGCTCACCCCTAAGGTGTCTGCGTAGCTGGGTATGGACAGTCTGGTGGGAATGAGATCCTGCAGCTGATCCCACCACCAACGCTGCAGGCAAAGGAGACACAGGTGAGTGTTGCATCCAGAGTGGCACCAGATCTCTTTGGCCTGATGTTTCTAGGGACCAAGCTAGGGTTTGGTGGCATTCATGAGCTGTTCCCTGTTGCTCTGACAAGGGCATGGCCAGGGTTTGAGCAGCTTTGGTCAAAAGGTAAAGCACCTAAGTACTGTCCAGCTGAGGGAGCACAGGTTGGCAGTCCAGCTATGTCATCCTGCTGCTCTGCAGGCAGCTTGGGCCGTAGAGCTTCATCTTCAGGTGTGTAGATGAAAGCATCTCATGGAGAAATAGGACAGATGAGGACACCAGGGCAAGTGAAGAAGGGACTTGCTGAGATGTCCAAGCCTGGGGGACCACACTGTGAAGCACCAGGGTTGGCCATTGGGTGGGTGACTCCTACAGTAGAGTAGAAGGTGTTGTTTGGTCGCTGGGCAAGCAGAAAGCGTCTGAGCCAGATGTGCACAGATGGCAACAAACACAGGCAGAGCTCTTGGCAGGAGCTTTCTCCACATTTTTGCTTCCTCTATTTTGGGATTCTTCAATCCTATATCTCCTGTTGAAACACTCATTGCTGGACAGGGAAAAGCTTTACCAAGCAAGTGTCTTCTGTCTCTGTCTCTTTTCATGGTAACTGAGCACAAGTTGTGCACCATTAAGTGTGAAGAAATGGCTTTGTCTCTGATTTCTAGGGCCTCTGTCCAGAGAGAGATTTCAAGGTGGAATGTGGTGGATTTTCAAAACGCCCAGTGTACAGCCTGAAGTGTGTGCCGGACACTAGGTATGGCCATGAAGTCCTTCCAGGGAATATTAGAGATGGAGAGGGGGCTTATCCACTGAGGGCAAGGTGCTTTTCCATGCCTGCTTCCCAACCCAGCTGGTCAATCCTGCCAGCTCCAACAGCCTTGTGAGTCTGGGCAGTCACACACCAAGAACTGCTGATGTTGCTGCTGGCTCACCAGGGATCTCTTCCTGTCCCACTTCTGAGCAGCAGGGACCTGTAGAGTTTCCCTGCTCTGTGTTTTCCATCCTTTTTCCATCCAGGGATGCCTTTTCCATCCCTTCTTTCTGCATTTGGCACTGTGTGGAGGTGCTCAGCAGGCAGAATAGGACACTGGTGCCTGCTGCCACTGGTTCTGTAAGTCCCTGCGTGTGCAGGTTTAGAAGACTTTTTTCCCTGCCGTGCACTTAGACCAAGCAAACACACTTCTCTCTGGCTGATTTATGTCGCTCCTTCATCTCTCTCCTCCTACACAAACCTCTGTCACTACTTTGCACTGTTCTTAGTCTACTGCTTCTGGAAAATGTGATAATTAAATCATAGAATCATGGAATCATTTAGGTTGGAAAAGCCCTCTGAGACCATTGAATCCACCCATTCCCCGGCACGGCCAAGGCCACCACTAAACCATGTCCCCAAGTGCCACATCTACATGGCTTGTAGATCCCTCCAGGGATGTGACTCCACCATTGCCCTGGGCAGTCTGTGCTGGACTGCTCTTTCCATGAAGAAATTTTCCCTAATATCTAAATCTAAACCTCCAGTGGTACAACTTGAGCCCGTTTCCTCTTGTCCTGTCCCTTGACCCTTGGGAGCAGAGCCCAACCCCCACCAGGTTGCACCTTCTGTCAGGGAGTTGTAGAAAGCCAGAAGGTCCCCCCTGAGACTCCTTTTCTCCAGGCTGAGCCCCCACAGCTCTGTCAGCCACTCCTCATCAGATCCTCTTAAAATATCCTGATAAATGCCATTGCCTGGGACTGTGTCTTGCTGGAGCACCCTGCACAAGTAGTTCTGGGATTATGGTCCTTCCAGCCCCTGCTCTGCTCCAAGCTGAGTCAAGGGCTCCTGCACGCAGGAGCAGCACAGTTTGTCCCAGGGTGGGACAAAGGCTGTTCCCCGCTCCTGTGGAGTTTTGTGTCTTCCTGTTTCCTCAGCTTGCTGGTGACAAGTGGCCCACCTGACAGCTCCCTCCAGATCTGGCAGGTGTCAGCAGAGGACTCTGGTAAGAGGACATGTTTCTGAGCCCGAGTACTTTCACAAGGTAGTCATTGCATCAAACATCTCTAGCTTCCCCTCCTTCCTGGTGTCAGATGAGGAAAGGAGTGCCACTCCCATGTCCGTTGTGTGGCAGGGGCTGGAGAAGGGCACGAAACAAGGGTCTGTGCCAGTTTTGGTGGTTTGGACTTGACAGCACAAACCTCATCAGGGAATTAATAGGTTTAGGCCTGTCACAGTGGCCTTGCACTTCATGTAGTTGGCACAGTGTCCCCTTAGTAACTCCAGTGGTTAAAAATAAAGGAGCTCCATCCATGTTCTTTCAGGATAGACTGTGATCCATCTCACTTCTCTTGACAAGGATCCCCATTGCTGAGGCTGCTATTGGGAAACACTTGGAAACCACCAGAGAGGAAGTGCAAAATGTCATTAGAGGAAGAAGAAAACTTCACTGAACATAAACATCTCACTTCACAACTTTGCATGCATTTTGCTTGGCTTGCTGTCAGTCCTTGCTGGATGTGTTGGAAAGAGGGTTTTTATCCTGGAGAGGGAGGGGGTTAGGCATAATTAGATTTCTTATTGGTTTAGTAGGTCACTTTTAGCTTAGTGAGGCATCATTGTGAAACAGCTTAATCTGGTGGATTGCTTGACTCCCAATGTGTTTTACAGCTGTTCCTGTCTCTCTCTCTCATAGATGTTATTAAATCTGTAAGTGCCATAGCAACAGAAACTGGCACTGGGCAGCCCTGGGCTAAAATTGCCACCATCTCAGCCAAAGCCCCCTGGGTCCTTCATGGCTCAAGACTTGACAGTGTCCAAATTACAGAGGTTGAGTCGAGGAAAAATGTCTACACAGCAGGTATGCAAAGCAAGGCTGATTCTTGGAAAGTGGTGTTTGGGTAAAGCAAGGTCACTGCTCAAATAGCAAACATTTCAGAGTGGGTACTTTCAGATGTGTGCCAAAGGGTATAAAGATATTTGCAGCAAGTACATTGTCCTGAGGGAAGAGTTGACAACGCTCAGGTCCATCTGCAGCTGCTCTCCACTTGCATGACACTGATATCTCAAGTTTCTGTCCAAATCTGGGTCCTGTCAGAGTGCTGCAGGTGATTTCAATGTGGAGAATTGGGTGAGAAGAGGGCTGCTGTGTGTGCTGTCCCAAACAAGGAAGGTGCCAGTCTGGTTAAAACTTTGCCATGAGGTGATGGGTGCAAGGCTGGTTTCTTGGGGGTTCTGGGGATTCTCTGCCTTTGCCTACATAGTAACGCTCAGTCCCCCCACAGCTTATCCCTGGGGAGGAAAGGGGAGATGTGTGTGTCCAGTGCTGAGCAAAAGGAAGGTCTGTTTGTCACTGTCCCTGTGCCACAAGGACTCACGGAAACAGAGAACGGTTTGGGTTGGAAAGGACCTCAATCTCATCTCATTCCAGCCCCCTGCCATGGGGAGGGACACCACCAGACCAGGTTGCTCCAAGCTCCATCCAACCTGGCCTGGAACACTTCCAGGAATGGAGCAGGCACAGCTTATCTGGGCAACCTGTGCCAGTGCCTCAGCACCCTCCCAGGGAAGAATTCCTTCCCAATATCCCATCTAACCATGCCCTCTGGCAGTGGGAAGCCATTCCTCCTTGTCCTGTCCCTCCAGACCTTTGTCTGAAGTCCCTTTCTAGCTCCCTTGGAGCCCCTTTAGGCACTGACAGGGGCTCTAAGCTTAGTCTTCCTGGAGCCTTCTCTTCTCCAGGCTGAACACCCCCAGCTCTCCCAGGTTGTCTCCATAGCAGAGGTGCTCCAGCCCTTGGAGCATCTCTGTGGCCTCCTCTGGACTTGCTCCAGCAGCTCCACATTCTTCTTGTGTCAGTGACTCCAGAGCTGGAGGCAGCACTGCAGGTGCGGGCTACCCTCCAGCATCTGAAGTCCCTGTCTAGCTCCCTTGGAGCCCCTTTAGGCACTGACAGGTGCTCTAAGCTTAGTCTTCCTGGAGCCTTCTCTTCTCCAGGCTGAACACCCCCAGCTCTCCCAGGTTGTCTCCATAGCAGAGGTGCTCCAGCCCTTGGAGCATCTCTGTGGCCTCCTCTGGACTTGCTCCAACAGTTCTACATCCTTCTGATGTTGGTGCTGCAGAGCCAGAGGCAGCACTGTAGGTGGGTCTCATCAGAGCAGAGTAGAGGGACAGAATCCCCCTCCCACCTGCTGCCTGTGCTGCTGGGAATCACTGGAATTGCTCCAGGAGCTCCATGTCCTTCTGATGTAGGGAGCCCTGGAGCTGGACATGTTACTCCTGAGCACACATCCTGCTTGCTTTCTGTGGCAAGACTGCAGCACAGAAATCCAGCAAGCACTCCTCATTGGACCTGAGACCTGCCTCTCTTTTCCAGCCTCCAGAGACAGTGAGGAGCTCAGTGGCTTGGCCTTCCTGGACTGCAACACGCTGCTGCTGTGCTGCACCAAGGGCCAGCTGTGCCTGGCTGACATCCGGCAGCCACAGAGTCCCGCGGAGGCCTGTGTCTGTCCCGTTGGCACCGTGCGGCCAGTGGTGGTGCATGGGCTCAGGGCTGAGCTCCCAGCCCGTGGCTCGACTCTCCAGTGCAGGGCTCCTCACCCTGACAGACCTCCGGAAAACCTCCGAGCCCTTGGCCTCGGCAAAGGCCAGAGTCCCCTCTCCAGGCTCAGGTGGAGAGTTCCTGTGCGTCTCCTGGGCTCCTGCTCTGGAAGGCTGCCTTGCTGTGTCAGGTAGGTGCTTTGTGCAGAGAGCTCCTTTTCTGGGTGCTTTTATGATCTATATTTTTGTCGAGACCCAGTTCAGCCCATGCTGAACCCCCCAGTGAGGGTGTGGCTATTCAGAGCTGCCCCTGGAGCCAGCAGAGATGCCAGCTAATCATCCTCTGCAGCTGCCTCTCTCCAACAACTCCGCAAGGGGCCTGGATGGGTACTGGGAGGTGCCTGCTGCTCTCCTGGCAGATCAAAGACCCCAAGCCCACCACAAGCTGGAAGGCTGCCCTGATTATGACAGCCTGGCCACAGGGTATGGCATTGATAACACTGTCTGGGCAGTGAGTCTGCCTCCTGGCCAGAGCATTGCACATTCATACTAGTGAATCCACAAGCTTTTGAGATCCACCTCATGCTGTCCCTGGCAGCTGTTTCCTTGAGACATGCTCCTTGGATGCAGGGCTACTCTGCTCTCACAGGTTTCTACTCTGGGCCATGTGTCCTTGTTCCTGCTGGGAGGTGAGTCTGAGCCCAGCCAGACTAGAGCAAAGCAATTAATTCCTGCACTCTGATTCCCTTTCATCCAAGGTTTTGACGGGACCGTGCACGTGTATGACACGCAGAGCTGGGACAGCTCTGGCAAGGAAGCAGAGCCTGTCTTTGTCCACAAAGGGCACGCGTTTGACGCCGCAGACAGCAGTGGGGACCCTCCCTTGGTCACTGTGCACACATGGCACCCACAGAAACCCAGGACTTTGTTGTCAGCAGCAAGTGACGGTTCTCTGCATGTCTGGGACTGGGTGCAGCCCTGTGGGAAGTGTGGGTAGATGGTGTTTTGGTGAGATGGGGTGTGTTTCCTGCCTCTGTTCTCGTTTGCGCGGGCTGCAGGGTGTCTGTTTGCCTGCAGATAGTTTGGAGAGCATTCTAGTGAGCAGACTGTAAAAAGAATATAGAACTGTAAAAGTTCTATTTTAATAATAATAAAAACTTTGGTTGTGTTACTTGTTCTCCTGTGTACCAACCTTCAGGTGAGAGCTGTGGCTGTGGTTCTGGCTGTGGCTGCTGCAGAGAACATGCTGCTGTCGTTTGATCATTGGCTGGTGTTGTGTCTGCAGAAGAAAACAGAAAAAAGGGAGAGGGACAAAAAGAAGAGGGACTTACCAAGGCCCTGGAGCAACAGGACAAGGGGGAATGGCTTCACACTGGCAGAGGGCAAGGCTAGATTGGATATTGGGAAGAAATTGTTTGAGGGTGGTGAGGCACTGGCACAGGTTGCCCAGAGAAGATCTAGTTGCTCCATCTCTGGGAGTGTTCAAGGCCAGGTCAGGTTGAGCTTCGAGCAACCTGGTGTAGTGGAAGGTGTCCCTGCCCATGGCAGGGGCTTGGAGCAAGATGAGCTTTAAGTGTTTTCCAACCCAAACCATTCTCTGATTGTATGAAAAAAACCCAGGAGTTTGAGGAAACAGGCTCTTATATAGGATATTTACTGACTGTTTTCCAGGCCCCAAGCACCGAGGGGAAGCTGCACCCTCCAAGGGGTGTTGGCATTTATCACGTGCACATGTGTCATGAGCAGCTCAGGAAGTCGCAGTGTGAACACAGCCTGCTTGCAGCCGCCAAGGGAACAGAAACAGCCCTTCCAGCCTCAGGCTGCTCCAAGCCCTGCCCCTCACCTCTGGATCCAGAGAGCACCCAGCCTAAGACAAGGCATTGGTGTCTTTTGGCTCTTTTCCCACCAATTGCAAGTTTAGATTTGATGGAGCTGATGTGATTTCCTGGGCTGAGGAAGCAGGCGATGACTCCTGCAACGCCCACGCTGTTACCAAGGTGTTACTTGGGAGAGAGAAAAACTGCCTGCAAAGGGTTCCCTGCTGCTCTTGGTGTCAGCTGAGGTGGGGTGGGCTGAAGGCTTTACCTCAGGAGCACCTGGGGAAACCTTACACTGGGAATGTGCTGTACTGACCCGCACTGTGCCATGGCAACAGCTGTCTGCCTGCAAGTTGGGTCTGCAACCTGCTCTGTTCTCCTCCCAGCACAAGCCACCATTCCACTCCCAAAAATCCTCCTGGCAACAGGTGAAACCAGGGCAGCTTGTCCTGCTCGAGGCCAGGGAGTTGATGTTTTGTAACCTACCAAAGCCAGTGGGTCTGTGTCACCATCAGCAGCAAAGGGAAAAGCCTGTGCAAGCCCAGGAGCTAAGCACTCCTGCAGGAAAGCCTGGGCCACCCCTGGAGGGTCCCCAGTAAAACCATTCCAGCTGTGCTAGAGCCAAACAGGTGGGAATGGGTTCTGACCAGGGGCTTGGGAGGATTTCTGCCCCAGCGAGGGCAGTGGGGAGGTCTCCTGCCTCTCCAGTCTCTCTTGTCTGCTTTTGAGTCAGTTCCTTCCTGCTGTGGGAGAGCTGAGCGTGCGCCAACACCTCCAGGCTCCTCAGTTTAGGAGGTTCTGTCCCATGATTAGGACCAGGAGCAGCCCCAAGAAAGAATGTGGGTACACAGACACGAAGGGTTCTCAGGGTGGGATCCTGGAGCTCAGTAGGTTTTCCTCAAGCACTCCTGGGAGCAGTTTGGCAAACAGAAAGTACAGAGCTCAGCTGCTGTGGCTCCTCCTTCCTGGGGGAAACACCCACAGGGTGAGGGTCTGGCTTTGGAGGAGGTGGGCTCTGAGGAGGAGGAGCCTTCCCTGCACCCATGCTACCTCTTCCTCACTGCCTCCTTTGCTGGGATATGGTGGAGCAGACCCACTCCGCGTCACGGAGATGCAGGTAGCACAACAAGGACAGGGAACCGAATATGCTTGGCTTTCAGAAGAAACAGAGCTTAAGCAACAGCACAGCGTGTACTCATCTAGACTTCCTCTCCCCCCCACACCCACCCAGTAACTTAAGCCTTCTTGTCCAGCTTGAACCTGATTTGACAGGGGACTGGAAATGTCCAAAATAATAAGTACTCACAGCTGCTGTGGGAAGGGATTATGCACAGAGCAGGGATCTCCCAGCAAACGATGCTGGAGAATCACAGCAGGCAATAGGGAGGTCACTCTCAGGAATGCACCACGTGGAGCCTCTGGCAATGCCCAAGCATGAGATCAGAGTCCAGCTGTGTGACTCTGAGGACCTTGGCTTTGCTGGGACAAATTTGTCCTTGCTGGGGAAGGTTGGGATGGCTCCTGCCTCTGGCAAAAACACTGATGCCCCCGACATGGACTGATGTAAGGATAGTCTCTTTGTCCCCACAGCATCAGTGTGGCAAGAGGAGCTCAAGCTGTGTTGGACATGAATGTGTTCAACCTGTGCTCTTCCTAGGACCATGAAAAAGTCCTCCAGGAGTCCTGTTTTCACTAAGGCCTCATAGTTTTAGCCCCTGGGCAAGGTATCACAGCTGGGGACATAGAATCATGAAATCATTAGGCTGGAAAAGCCCTCTGAGACCATGAGTCCAACCATTCCCCAGTACTGCTAAGGCCACTACTAACCCACATTCCCAAGTGCCACATCCACACATCTGTTAAATCCCTCCAGGGATGGGGACTCCACCCCTGGGCAACCTGTGCCATGGCTGGACAACCCTTTCCATGAAGTTTTCCCTAATATCCAATCTAAACCTCCCCTGGCACAACTTGAGGCCATTTCCTCTTGTCCTGTTGGTTGTTCCTGGGAGCAGAGCCCAAGCCCCACGTGGTTACACCGTCCTGTTAGGCAGTTGTAAGAAATGCAGGGATGGAGAGGTGTTTCTCATCAGGAAGTGAATCCAGAACTGTGCTGTGGAGCAAGCTGTGCTCTGGGTTTCTCCTCCGTGCCTGTGAGGGAACAAGCCACAGCCCATCCTTGAGGGGCTCTCCCCCAGTTCAGGCCCAGAAATGGGGGAGTTATTTGGGGTGTTCTTCGGCTCATGCCCCAGTCCTGCTGCTCCTGGTGGAGTTCAGAAGTTCCCTGCAGCATTATCAGATGTCTGGATGTGGCAGCTGGGGACATGGGTGGCCTTGGCAGTGTGGGGGGAACAGTTGGACTCTAGGGTCTTAGAGGGTTTTTCCAACCTCAATGATTCTGTGATCCTTAACCCAACAGCCCTGAGCAGCTCCTCAGCAGGACACAGACTGGACATGGCTTGTTTAACAAGCAGCTCATTAGTGCCCTGTGCTCGCCAGGTATCATGTGGCCTTGAATTTCATTTCCACAATCATGCCCAGTCCCTGCTGTGGGATACAGAATCCTTCATCTCCTCCCTGGCTCCCGTCTGCGTGTCTTTGAGCCCAAGGGATGGGAGGGATGGGGTGGCATGAGCAGGACAGGTGCCACTGCTTTCTGGTCCTTGGGCAAGAGGGAAGAAATTGTTCCCTGTGAGGGTGGTGAGGCACTGGCACAGGTCACCCAGAGAAGCTGTGGCTGTCCCATCCCTGGAAGTGTTCAAGGCCAGACTGGATAGAAAAGGTATAGTGGAAGGTGTCCCTGCAGGGAGGCTGGAACTGGATGAGCTTTAAGGTCTCTCCCAACCCAAACTATTCCATGACATGATTCTGTTCTGCCTGTGCCAGCTGCCCTGTCCTGAGCCAAGAGAAGTGTCCAGGTGCTGGGACTGTATTTTATTCTTTTTTTTCTTTTTTTTCTGAGTTTAATAAACTAGAATAATTTATTTGACAGAACACAGAAACATCACAGACAGGGTGGAGAAACCAAAGCAGCCGGTATCAATGACCAGTACAAAGGAACCACTTTACAAAAAGAAGTACCACGCTGCCCATCAGCTTTACCCCAAAATAATGGGGGGGAGGGGCTCAGCTCAGCATCCCCCAGCTCGGGTTGGGGGATGGAGCTATCCCCACAGGATGCTCTCAGATGACAATGCTGATTGCAACAGCACAATAAATAGTGGGAATGGCCTCTCAGTGGGTGGTGGGATACCCAAGACCCTGGTGGGGAGCAGTGGTCCAGGCACCACCAACCCAGGAGGCACAAAGCATCTGGTGAAACACTGGTTAGGGTGGCAAATGCCCTGGTTCCCCTTTCCCACCACCACCAAATGGGTGCTGGACCCCATGCAGGCAGAGAGAAACATCAACCAGAAGGTCTCTGCAGTTTGGAGGGAGCAAAGCACCCATGGTGTCACCCCACTAAGGAAAAGGCTGTTCTGCTATGACCCTGCTGTGGCTGTGGAGAGGAATTTGTGGCCTCTCCCAGAGCAGGCAGCGTGTGGCTGATGG